GTATATTTTAATATGTATATATGTTTAAATAAATACGTATATATTTGTTAAAATAAACCACTACAGAGAGAATTGAATCTGTGCCCAAAAAATGCACTATCTTAGAGCTACTGATGCTGTATAAGTTATGAAAAATAAAAATATAAACTGAATTTTGAGATTGGGTGTCAGGCGAGAGCGTTAGACTTATTGGTGGCAGGCAAAAGCTGCTGATTTAGTGGTCGCAGGCGAGAATCGCAGTCATAGTGGTCGCAGTCGTAGCAAATCTCCATGTTTTGTGTTGGTTGGTAAATATACATATATTTGTAGTATAATATCAAGTTTTGTGTTGGTTGGTAATTGTTTATTAGTTTTTCTATTTCTATTTGTTTCTTTTGAGTTTAAAATAGAAAAAGAAAAAGAAAAAAGAGATAAGATACCGATGTTTGATAAACTTAGTTTATCATGTTTTTTTTCTGGACCTAGTAGGCAGAGCCCAAAAGTTTTAAAAATGATGTTTGCTTTACCAAAAAAACCCAGTGAATTTGTGTTTTTCTGTTTTATGTATTGGTTTAAAAAAAAAAAGTATATCTAAAGAAACAACTTGTAGTGTTGTTTAGAAAAAAACAACAAAATAATTAGACAGGAGACGGAGAGAGAGTAAATATCTGAGTAGAAGAAGTATTTTGTTTAAAAAAAGCAGCACGGTAAGGTTTCATTAAAAAAAATTTAGGAATTCGAGGAATCGAGATATTTTTCTGCTTGTGTATTTTAAAATATCTATTTTTTTTAACTGTATAATTGTTTTTTAAAAAACAACAACAATTATTGTAACAGATAAATATTTTATTTATTTAATATAAATGAATAAATAATACATAGTTGTAAAATGTAAATATGTACATACAAATGGCGTTGTGTTTATTTTACGAAACGAATTGTACATTTTGAGATTGAAACCGTCCTGAGGGCCTGAGGGCTGAGGGCTGAGGGCTGAGGGCTGAGGGCTGGCTGTGACTTTACTTCATGTCATCTCGTGAGTCTCGACTCTGAGTCTGAGGACTGAGAGGCTGTATTAACTAAGGAGTGTAAGGCTGTAAGCCTGTAGCAATGTGTAAAACACTCCAAATAAGGGCAGTGTGCACTCTGTGCAGACAGGACTGCAGCAGAGTGCAGTCAGCCAGTCACTGACTCACTGCGCACAATTGTGCACTTCTTGTGTTGTGTGCAGCAGCACTGTGCCACCATTTATTCAGTTGTGCACTGTGGACTCATTGCAGTTTGCACTGTGCTCGCCCTTCCCCTGGACCCTGGACCTGATGTTTTGATTCGTGGTGTTTAGGAGCACCCTTATGACTGTTTTAGTGATAGTGTTCAGGAGCACCCAAGTAAAATTTCAGGGATTAAATAAACGCCACAGCTCTATTTTACTCTCAATAATTTTGGTTGTTTTTCTAAAAAAAGAAAGAAAGAAAAATAAATGTAAAAATAATTTTACATTTTTAAAATTTAAATATATAAATACTTTTTATATATTTAAACATAAAAATATGTAGCATAGACTTTAGAGTATAGACCGAGTCACCAACAAGAGACCTGAAAACATATGAACAATGAGTTTTGTAACAAATGAATAAAAAACACGAAGGCTATGAATATTGAATAGTATTTACATATTATTACAACGCATTCAGGATTCGAAATCACTCTAAACATATATTGACACCGTAAAAAATGATCAGTAAGGCAATTCGGTGGACCCTCGCGGCGCTAATGTGTAGCGCAAGTGTCGTCTTTGGCGAGCCAGAAAAGATACAAGGTACACAGTGTGGCGAAATACATATCATACGAGAAAACGGTGTACTTATGCGCACGGGTGGGGGTGATCCGTCCACATGCAAAGAGTTGAATCTCAAGATGATTAGACTAGAAAAACTTCACCCCGATGTCTTCAAGGGCATGACGGGTCTTCAAGAGCTTGCTATGTGGGGCTGTCAACTAAAATCTGTACCTGCAGGTGTATTTGACGATCTGACTGGACTACGTACTTTATATCTGGGCGGAAATGAGATCGAGGAAATCCATCCCTCACTCTTCAAGAACCTGAAATCGCTTGAATTTTTGGACTTGCTTAACACTGAAGCATTGGTAGCGGCCGGGGATAGTGTATTTGGGGGATTGAGCAGTCTCAAGAAGCTCTACATTGGTATGTGTGGGTACGAGACGATTAGCCCAACACTTCTGGCTCCATTAGTCAATATAGAGTACTTGTCGATGGGAAGTAACGAGATCACCCACATCGCCGAGGGAGCTTTCAAACACAATACCAAACTGCAGACGCTGTCGCTGGGTCAGAATCAGTTGTCGTCTTTTGGTAAAGAGCACTGGGAAGGCATTGGCAATGTGAGAGAAATCCTGCTCCAAGACAATCCGCTGCGTTGCTGTGATATCCCCACGTCACTGAGCCCAGAGGGGCTCGAGGGGATGAAAGCGGCTTGCCCTGCTATGACATGCACACTTAATCTCGGAGATGATAAGAAGGCGGATAAAGCTCCCGAAGAAGCAATCAAGTTAGTAGACGAAAATGTGGCAGCAGAGCCTGAGAAAGACAGCGCAACCGATGCACAGGCTAGCGCCACACAGGACAGTGACGAGCCTGCTGATGATGACGAGGGTGTAGATGATGATCTCGAGGATTTAGATGACGCTGACTTCGATACGATGTTCGATGGCGACGATGGAGACGAGTATGACGAGGATGACGAGATCTTTGGAGCGGAGGAAGTATTGCTGACGGAAGACATTAAGGCAACACATGTGGAGTTGTAAGTGATAGATGCTCCTAGTAACATATAAACGTACGTTAGTATCCTGAATCAATTTTCCGAAAGGTCGAACGCGCCGAGTATTGATTATGTCAAGAACATCACGTATTGATTTTTTCCAAGATTAGACGATTTATTGCGATGACTCTCAGCTTGTGTGAAGAATTCATACGGAGAAAGCCATTA